GGTTGTTAGGGTAAGCTGTCGTTTGTTTATCATCTGGTTGTTAGGGTAAGCTGTCGTTTGTTTATCATCTGGTTGTTAGGGTAAGCTGTCATTTGTTTCTCATCTGCTTGTTAAGGTACGCTGTTGTTTGTTTCTCATCTGGTTGTTAGGGTAAGCTGTTGTTTGTTTCTCATCTGGTTGTTAGTATAAGCTGTCTTTTGTTTCTCATCTGGTTGTTAGTATAAGCTGTCTTTTGTTTCTCATCTGGTTGTTAGGGTAAGCTGTCATTTGTTTCTCATCTGCTTGTTAAGGTAATGCAACACTTGATTTTCACCACATCTTCAGGCTAAATTTTATTTGCTTCTATATAGTCTTCAGAGAAGGTTGTTGTAAATACTTTGATATTTATCATAGTTGTTTGTTTGTTTTTTTCAATAGTAAAGTAAGGAATTATATGCCATTATTTTTTTAAAACAGGTAATCAAGTTAAGATTCATTGATATCAGAATGGAAACATTTAATCTGAATAATTGCCCTGCCAATCTTTTTACCACAGTTGATGAAATTACATAGAATATCAGAGTAGGTAGTAATTTTTTCACTAAGCAACTTTATAAAGCTTTGTTACAGTTTTCTGGCTCTCATGTTTTCGTAGTCACTCTATATCTGCTTGCTCTGTTGATGAATAGGCAACTGTGTTTGACTGATGGTCATGAACACTGTGATTTGTATTTGTAATCACTCTGTGTGACTGAAGGTCATGAACACTGTGATTTGTATTTGTAACCACTCTGTTTGACTGATGGTCATGAACACTGTGATTTGTATTTGTAATCACTCTGTGTGACTGATGGTCATGAACACTGTGATTTGTATTTGTAACCACTCTGTTTGACTGACGGTCATGAACACTGTGATTTGTATTTGTAATCACTCTGTTTGACTGACGGTCATGAACACTGTGATTTGTATTTGTAACCACTCTGTTTGACTGACGGTCATGAACACTGTGATTTGTATTTGTAACCACTCTGTTTGACTGATGGTCATGAATGCTGTGATTTGTATTTGTAACCTTGCAGGGAACTTCAAGTCAGGAGGACAGGGAACAATCCTGAAGAAGCTCTGTGGACAAGAAGAAATATGTCTTCATCAGTTAATGGGTGATGCCTTACGGCCTTTTGTTCCTGATTTTAAAGGAAGAGTGGAAAGTGATGATGGAGAAAGTATCCTCTTCTGTAAGGTTTAAGTTTTAGTTTTAAAGACTATGATTTAAGTAAAAATGATGGATTAACACAGTATAAAGTGTTCCAATTCTTCCTGGATTTCTTATGTTTGACTTAATAGTAAATGTTACAAGAAAGTGTACAAAATGTTTAAAAAAATCAATACTTTTGTTTTCATTAGTGACTTGATGATTCTGGAAAATACTAGTTTCTCATATAATTGATATTTGAAACTGTCAGTACCTGGTGAAACTCCATAATGGAGGAAAAACAAGGTATTTGTATGTCTTATAAATACATCATTTATTCCCAACCATGGTTAAGTTAAGCTCCTCCCCATTCCTTACCCCCTTGTCCCTAGGTGAATGTCAAGATCACTCCTGGTTCCTTGTTTAAACATATGTAAACCTGTTACAGAACATTTCAGTCTGTACCTGATGATGTCTTTACTGATAAGACCATGGTCGTGAATAAATGATATATTTGTGAAATGTACAATTGTCTTGTTTTTCCTCAATTCTGTACTAGTTTCTCATAGGAGTAATATAGATGCAGCTATAAACTTTCAAGTTGTAGATGATTTATTTTCCAGGGTAATGTAAATTAAGGTTTTAAAAGCTATTTCATCAGGTTGGTTTGAAATTTTTCTTAAAAAGTTATATAATAACAATGTTATTAGAAACCTAAAAATTCAATGAAAAATATGCAGAAGAAGTAATAAGGGAATTGATTGTAATTCTCTTCAATCACAGATATTTATTTAATTGCAATCCCAATGAAATTTTTCATGGATTGGTACAGATTGGCCCTGTGGTTGAGCTGGGAATTTTGAAACTCTTGAGCCGAGTTTAAATCCGAGTGATACCACAAGATATTCCTTGCACTTTAAGCTGTGGGCGCATTATAAGGATATCAATCAATCCTGTAGCATGAGTAGCAGAGTGTTGCTGCCTTCCTTCTGGTTAATAGCTCAAAATTAAGGACAGCAGCAGATGGTCTTATTAGCTTTGCTACAAATACAAATATTCAAGGATTAGTGTTAGCATCTTAATAATATTTTTTGTTAGGGGAAACTCTGATGTATCAGCACTTGAGTTAAAATTGATCCTTAAAAAATTAACTTTAAATGTCTAAGAAAAATTAGATTACTATATCCTCTCAACATGTTCCCTTTTTAGTGTGATTCACATATTGTAACCAAAGAAAGGACTGGTTCTACTAGTTTCAGATAGGAAATATCTCTTCTAGTGTAAAAAGAAAATGTTTGGTTAATTAGATTATTATAGAACTATATTTCAGTGAATTTACCATCAATTTTCAAACAAGATTTTTAATTGCTTGTACTAACCTGTACCTGTAACTGATCTATAGTTGAAGCACACCTTTCTTCGTACCTTCAAACACACATGTAGGGTACGTTACATAATTATGATTTGTTTAACATATCAGAACTATTTTATTAGGTCAAAGGTTTTGTGACAAAGTTCCTGAACTAAAATGCCTCAGTTTATCTTGAGCTTCAGGACTTGTTAGCTGACTTTGAAGGTCCATGTGTCATGGATATCAAGATGGGTGTTCGAACATACCTTGAGGAAGAATTGGCCAAAGCAAGGGAAAAGTCAAAACTCAGAAAGGTGAATCTTGGACTTGAAAACCTTTTTGAACAGAATACATTTTTGAAGAATTAGCTCCAAATTAATTGATGCAGTTATATTTTCCTGTTAAAACAGTGTACATAATATTTCTAGAAGTGATTTAAGTTGTGCTTTCAAGATAAGAAAACAAGTATAAAAGAAAGGATTGAAAGAAAATGGTTAAATTCTGTAACAATGATAAGACACCTTGATGAAAAACCAGTAATGATGGAATGTATATAGATATCAGAGCTAAAGTAAATGGGTGATATAAAAATTGATTATGAGAAAATAACTAAGGAATGATAGGCAAATTGCATCAATCATTGCAAGTGAAAATAGCAATAAACTAGGTGGTAGTTTATTTTTTAAAATGTTTGAAATATTAATGGTACAATACATGTAGTTTCCATACGAAAAAAAATAAAAATATTTTCTACCAGGACATGTATGAGAAGATGGTCCATATTGATCATGAAGAGCCAACAGAAGAAGAACATAGAATGAAAGCTATTACAAAACCTCGATACATGGTTTGGAGGGAGACTATTAGTTCAACTGCCTCCTTAGGATTTCGTATTGAGGGCATAAAGGTGAAAATCTTTAATGAAACCATTAGTTCCTTCACTTAATTATTGACTAATGTGGGAAGAATAAAGCCAAAAAAAATCTCAATTTGTTCAAATCTTTATTGAAATATTTCAGGAATTGTAACTGTCTGTCTATTTATTACATAATTAATGAATTATCGTGATAAAATGTGGTAAGCTATTTTCTGGAAAATCTCACACTTTTTCATTACTAAAGTTTTTCACTGGCGTTATGAAAACATTTGCAGTTTTATAAGAAGCATTAGGTATAGATTTACGTATTTCATTTTAGAATTGCAACTTGTCAATAAAAATTAAAAATCATATTTCTGCATGTTTTTTTTATACCTACATATTTTACAAAGAAATTCCCAGCACCAGCCAAGGCATATATTTTGTTAGCTTCATGTGGATGGAGAGATTGTCATCTCATCTTTCACTAGCATTGAACCAGCAGGAAAGGAGAAAATTCAAAAATGGCTGTCAAACTCATAAACTTAAACAAATGAATAAAGTAAGGGATTTTAGGTTTCATCTTGAGCATACCTATAAAACCCTGAAGGGTTTATGGTGATCAGAGGTTGGGAAATTAGAAAAACAGATATACAGACAAAAGTTGTTTTATAATATATGTTATGAAGATGTATTTTAGTTACTTTATTAGATAACTTTGATAGTAGGGGCTTGAAATCGTGTGTAGATTTTCACACAGGCTGATCTACAGAAATTTCAATGAAAAGAAAATTATTTATTAACTTAATAATGAAATCACAAAATGTAGCAATTTATTTGCTTTAAAGGAATGATAACATCAAATTATTTATTAGAAAATCAAAGAACTTCTATTATATCTTACTTGGAAGACTAAAAACATTTTATTTCTGAACAAATATTATAGGATAAATACAATTAGGGATGCAAGATGGTTGATCTTTTTTTTTAACGTATAAATTAACACTATGTATTAAATGCATCATGAGAACGAAATCTTAGTGTTAGACTTATGTATACATCCTAATGTCCTAAAAGTGAAATTGATCTTTAAGTGGGAACAGCAGACTAGTTCCATGTTTTATTGTATATAACCATTTCTGGAACAAAAACATGTAAACTATGAATTGATAAGAACCTTCTTGTGAGTATTTTTCAAATACTTGAATTAAATATTTCCTGTATATTCATTTTAGCATGGTGATGGAACATCCACTAAAGACTTCAAGACAACAAAGACAAAAGAACAAGTTGCTAAAGCAGTGAGGATATTTACAAATGGTTATCCTGGTGTCTTGGTATGTATATTGTTATCTCTAGAACAAGTTTCTAAAGCAGTGAGGATATTTACAAATGGTTATCCTGGTGTCTTGGTATGTATATTGTTATCTCTAGAACAAGTTGCTAAAGCAGTGAGGATATTTACAAATGGTTATCCTGGTGTCTTGGTATGTATATTGTTATCTCTAGAACAAGTTTCTAAAGCAGTGAGGATATTTACAAATGGTTACCCTGGTGTCTTGGTATGTATATTGTTATCTTCAGAACAAGTTGCTAAAGCAATGAGGATATTTACAAATGGTTACCCTGGTGTCTTGGTATGTATATTGTTATCTCCAGAACAAGTTGCTAGAGCTGTGAGAATATCTTCGAATGGTTATCCTGGTGTCTTGGTATGTATATTGTTATATCCAGAACAAGTTGCTAGAGCAGTGAGTATATCTTCAAATAGTTATCCTGGCATCTTGCCATGTACATAGTTATCTCTAGAAAAGTTGCTAAAGCAGTGAGTATATCTTCAAATAGTTATCCTGGTGTCTTGCCATGTACATAGTTATCTCTAGAAAAGTTGCTAAAGCAGTGAGTATATCTTCAAATAGTTATCCTGGCGTCTTGGTATGTATATTGTTATCTCTAGAAATATTTGCTAGAGCAGTCAGTATATCTTCAAATGGTTATCCTGGTGTCTTGCCATGTACATTGTTATCTCTAGAAAAGTTGCTAAAGCAGTGAGTATATCTTCAAATGGTTATCCTGGTGTCTTGCCATGTAGATTGTTATCTCTAAAACAAGTAGTTCTAAGAATAGGCTTAATTGTTAATATTGTAATGCTAGAAGTATAAGAAATAAAATAGATGACTTTAGAGCACTGGTAGTAATGGAGGATTTTGATATAATGGGAATAACTGAAAACATGGTTAAGTGTTGATGATTTTGATGACAAAAATTTCTTTGAAATACAGGGTTGTAGGTTATTTGATAGGGATAGAGTACTAAAGAGAGGGGTGGAGTGGCTTTATGTGTAAAATGTGAGTTACATCCTGTTGAAATTGAGGATATAAAAGATAACAGCAGGGAGATTGAATCCATTTGGGTTTCTGTTAGTGGATATAAAGGGAAAAGGCTTTTAGTGAGAATTTGTTACAGACCAAAAAGATGGTACTGATGAAATTAGTAAGAAACTTTACAGTGAGATTAAGATTTCAGCAGTTAATGAGGTCATCATTACGGGTGATTTTAATTTTAGGCATATAGATTGGGAAATGCTAGAGTCAAACCATGAAGGAGAAAGGTTTTTGGAAAATGGTCAAGATGGTTTTCATCAGCAATTAGTCAAGGTACCTACTAAAAATAATGCTATTTTAGATTTATTGTTAACTTCGAATATAGAAATTGAGGAACATCTGGGTGCAAGTGATCATTGCTCTATTAAGTTCAATGTTTTGCTGCATATAGAGATAAGGAATAATGATATTTTGGTTACAATTTCAATAAACCAAATTTTGAAGGGATGCAACAAGAATTATCTGTTGTGAATTGGGCAGCTGAGTTACTTGGAGACACTGATCAAATGTGGAATATTTTAAGGATAATTTTTTTTTAATATTCAAGATAAACATATTCCTTGCAGAAAGTAAAGGGTAAGTGCAAGTAAAAAAAACAGGTTGACTCACAAAGGGTATAAGAGATAAAATTAAAGAAAAGCATAACAAATTTAAGAAGTTTAAATTGACTGGTATGACAGGAGATTTATAAGATTAGGACATCAAAAAGGATGAATGGAAAAAGGTTGGCTGAAAATGTAAAAATTAACAGAAAAGATTTCTTTAAGTACATTAAGGGTAAACAAAATGTTAAGATTGGGTGGTACCCTTGAGTGATGATAAAGGAAGGCTTGTATCTGATCATTATGAGATGGCTGGGTTATTAAATTCTGCTTTTTCTTCAGTTTTTACTAATGAAGATTTAAGCAGTATTCCTCATCTTTAACAGTTGATAGATGGAAGTCTGACAGTATGATTGCATTAATTCTGAGCTTGTTAAGAAAAAAAATGGGAAGTTTAAAAATGATAAGGCTCCTGAGCTAGATAATATTTTTCCAAGGGTTTTGAAGGAGGTTAAGGATTGGACATGTGAGCCACTTACTACTATTTTTTGCATGTTTTTGAACAGTGGGCAGGTGCTAAAGGATTGGAAGTTAACTAATGTCACTCCTCTTTTCAAGTGAGGTAGTACAAATTGTCCCAGTAATTATAGACCCATTAGTCTTACATCAGTTGTGGGAAAAATTTTGGAAAGTCTAATAAAAGATACTTTGCAAAGTGTCAGATATAAAAGACTGTTTAGTGTAGGTAGTATTATTTATGACAGTTATTTAACAAAGTTTAGAATTTTATTGGATAGTGAATATGGTTTTACTAAGGGAAAATCTTGCCTCACAAATCTTTTGACATTCTTTGAAAAGATTACTGCTTACGTAGATGAGGGGAAAGGTGTACATTTGGTGTATCTGGATTTTCAGAACACCTTTGACAAGGTGTCTTGCCATGTATATTGTTATCTCTAGAATAAGTTTCTAGTTGTAACAAGTGGCCATATAATCTAATTGTTGGAGCTTGACTTTACAACCAGTCACAATAGATTTATATTAAATCCATATATACAATCACAAGTAGAGTACACAAGTCACAAACTTGAGGAAGTTTACAATTAGAATAAAAAATTGACTCTGAGACTGAGATTCAAAATCTACTTCAATCTTTAATACAACAATTCTAAATATTCAATTACATTAAAGTCACCAACATAGGCTCAAATCAACTGTGCTTTATGAGCTCTCTTTAACACTTTGTTTTACATTAACTCGTAATCAAGTTTCTAATGGTTATCCTGATGTCTTTATGTATATCATTATCTCTAGAATAAGTTGTTAATGGTTATTTAGGTGTCTTGCCATATATATATATTGTTATCTCTAGAACAAGTTTCTAATAGTTATCCTGGTGTCTTGATATGTATATTGTTACCTCTAGAACAAGTTGTTAATGGTTATCTAGGTCTCTTGCCATGTGTATTGTTATCTCTAGAACAAGTTGTTAATGGTTATATAGGTGTCTTGTAATGTATGTTGTTATCTCTAGAACAAGTTGTTAATGGTTATATAGGTGTCTTGTAATGTATATTGTTCTTTCAGTGTTTATAAGTCATTACTGAGAAAGATCAGTCATAACTCTTTTTAATCGTAAAGTAAATGGCAAAATAGTTTAGTTATGGAGCCACAAGCAAGGTAGAACTATGTAAGTGATGGGCTTTGCATTTCAGAATCTTTTACGGAAAATAGTAACTAAATAGAGATGTGTTATTTATTATCTAAAATTATGAAAGTGTGAAAAATTAAAAGATATCTATTTAAAGAACATATATAGTTTATAATACATCAGTAGTTTGGTGTGGGTGGTGTATATTATATATACAACTCAGAATCTTAATATATGAGACTAAAAGTGTTTTTGTTCTTCTTTTATTTAAAACCTGAATACTTCTGATGGGCAAAATATGAAGGACTCAAACTTCTTTTGCCCTTTTAAAATTCACTGATGATTAATAGTAGAATTAAATAGCAAGTAATTGGAAGTTACTAGTAGATACACTGTAGTACAAGATGCACTTATTTTACAATGTGCTTAACAACCTAAAAATTCACTTTTCTAAAGGAATCCCAATGTGTAAAACTCTGATAGTCTGAGTATTTTAACAGCCTACTTAAAACAGTATAATATTTAGACTAAATAATTGATGATATATGTTTATTTCTTGACATTTCTCCAACAGAAAATGTACCTCAAAAGACTGGAAGCAATTCTTCTTGCTTTGGAATCTTCCGTTTTTTTTGCAAGTAATGAGGTGAGATTTATCAGGTTTTTGAGTCCTTTTTAACTCATTTTATAGTAACTTGAATTAATTTAGGTGTGTAAATGATATTATGATATTGTGCTTAATTAGTTATCTGATAGTATATAGGGGATCAACTGTTTTGCTGACCTAATCTGTGCTGATGAGCCTTGAATAGGCAAAACCACAGTTCACAGTACAAGGTGCAGTGAATCAAATGATGCACTAGGCCTTTAAGTCACGGATAATATTGTTACATCTCTGTTCGTTCGTTAATTTTCCGTAAAAATTCTTTCCAAAGAAACTTTACCGATAGAAGTCCTTTCTTAAATAAAACTGGTTTATTCTTTCTGAATAGAACTTTGCAATACACTTAATTTCAACAGTCGAGCTTTAACAAACTCTATAATTCTCAACGAACGTCTCATGTGCTCACCTCAACAATACTCAGTTCAATTTCACACATCTTGTCCCGTCACTTATATATTTACAAGACTAACACATATCTAGTAAATGCTAGAGCATTCATGAAGGAACAGGATATTTCTAGAAGATCTATTATAAATTACAAAAGATCTACTGAAGTCAGCTATGAGGTCAGGTATGGTTGTATAATCCCAGGAAGACCAAAGGGATAGCTCCTAAGTTGTCTTCTCCATGGGAAGGCCCATATGACATAGTGGATCGTCTCTCAGATGTGACTTTCTGGGTAAAATGTGGTCGGCGAGGTAAGCAAAAAGTGGTGCATGCCAACAGGCTTTGGCGTTATCATGGTCCAGGACATTTCAGTTGGGACGAAGTGAACAACAGAACAAATGATGCTGCTGAAGACATGTCACCTGAAAAAGCCATCGTCGAAGAAGAAACTCTACTCAGTTTTGAGAAGTGAAACGGTGAAGCTCTTGATGAAGTTACTACCACTGATGTGACTGTTATCGATGATAGGACATTTCCTGATGAAGCAGATGAACCCCATATGAAGCAGAAGCCAGCAAGACGGAGACCAGTATGGAAGAAGATACGTCCAGTAAAATTAAGAGACTTTTTTAATTGTAATTTTGTGTTTGTAATTCTGTACATTTAATTAAGTTATTGTTAATTGTTATTGGTTTATTGTAAGTGGCTATTGTTCGGGACGAACAATACTAAGGAGGGGCAGTGTTGTGTCAGCGAGGTCACGTGACTAGTATCACGCCACGTCCTTCATGTCTCTTAATTATATATACAAGACTAACACATATCTAGTAAACGCTAGAACATTCATGAAGGAAAAGGATATTTCTAGAAGGACGTGGCGTGATATTAGTCATGTGACCTCGCTGACGCAACAATATTTTAAACTTTACCTTTGGTGAAAAGAAAAGAAATCCATAATATAACAAGTTAAGATTGCTTTCATAATCCTTTAACTTATATCATTTCATGAATGGAGACAATAGTATCATAGCTGAGGGTGAGGTAGGGGGTAAGCCCCTTTTTATGGATGACACAGATATTTTTACAAAGTGGTATGAGTTGAGGATTTTTCTCCCATATAAATGTTACTTGGAATACAGGGTAGCCACGTTATAACGCGATTGTTGAGGTCCATAAAATGTCATCAGGAAACAAGCGGGATCGCACTAAATCGGGATTCAAGAAAATCACTGTTCAAACTGACCCAATGTTGACCTAACATCCTAAAACACCTCTATTTTCATCCTCTTTGATTAGTTTTTTACATGTTCCCTTTCTGGCAAGCAAATTACCTCTGAATTAAAGAATTTTGCAAATGAATCATTGTTGTTACAGTAGAAATTAAAACATAATTTATTTTTTAGTAGGCTTTTTAATAAACAAAACAACAAATAAAAACATTCAAGAATATTAGCAATCATCATTTGAAGTTTTTTTCTTAAAAACTGATCAAGTGTTCCTTGCTTGAACGTTACGAGGTTGGCCCCAGAGACCGAGCCCATGTCGAAAGAGTTAATGAGCCATATTGTTATATCCGAATGCGCGTTAAATCGGGGAGCATAAATTTGGGGTTTCACTTTAATTGGTTACGTATGTAGTATTGGATTCTGGTATACCACACTTTATCATTTTGTCTGAATTTTGATGTTGTAAGTCTCAATTCTTTCTGTTCATTTCCAGTATGGTCATTCTAGGAAAGCCTCTCACCCTAGTAGCCAGTAAGAAATAAAGAAAAATTATAGTTTGGCCAGTAGGTAAAATGCATAGTACATTATCCTGAATAAAGATTTTGTTTAATTGTTCACTTGTATTTCTTTCTTTCTCTGGAGTCCATTTCAGTTGATTCTTTGCTCAACTTCCTGAACCTGCAATACTGTGAATACATTTGTTGGATGTCAGTGGACCTAAATACCACAGTAGAAGCATTGTGATTCTGTTTTCAGTTACTCCATAATGGTGGATGTACTAAGAAAAGCTGGAGATTCGGTTTTCAGTTACTCCCTCATGATGGATCTACTAAGTAAAGCTGGAGATTCTGTTTTCAGTTACTCCCTCATGGTGGATCTACTAAGTAAAGCTGGAGATTCTGTTTTAAGTTACTCACTCATGGTGGATGTACTAAGTAAAGCTGGAGATTCTATTTTTCAGTTACTCCCTCATGGTGGATGTACTAAGTAAAACTGGAGATTCTGTTTTAATTTACTCCCTCATGGTGTATCTACTAATTGAAGATTACAGTTATTGTACTTTAATAAATTGTGTTTTAGGCAGCTATTGTATTATTATCAATTAAATACACATAAATTTTCCTCTTTATTTGATATGCTGGTGAAGTTAAACATGCTAATTAACTGTGGTGTTTGTCAGAAATTAAATTTCACTTAGTTACTCATTTGTATATTTTCCTTTTTAATTATTATTCTGTAAATATATTTTTCCTATTTACTGTCGTTTTTTTGTTCTTTTTTACAGATTCTTTTAAAGTACCATATGTTTTGTTTCATTAATTTGAGTGCCACTTCTTGTCTTCTTTAGCTGATTGGTAGTTCACTCCTGTTTGTTCATGACAATCACACAGCTAGCATTTGGTTAATTGACTTTGCCAAGACCCATCCAGCCCCAGTTGAAATGAAACTCACCCACAGGGATCCTTGGCAGGTGGGAAATCACGAGGATGGATACCTTATAGGTATCAACAGCCTCATTGAAATCTTCATGGACCTTTTGAAGGAGAAGTGTGGTTAGATAGTGTCCTTCAGTATGTCGCAACAAGAAAGCTTTGCTCAGGGAGAGTTATTGAGATTCATGTATGTTAAGGTCATTTCACAGCTCAAACTTCCACCTGGAATCAGCCTGGTCCTGGGTGAATGGAGCTCAAAAGCCCGGTGATATTGGAGTGAATAACAAAAGGAGAAATAAAAACATGATTGAAATTGAACAAATATCATAAGGACATTTGTTATAGAGAAAAAGTCACAGGCATTGGTAACATGTTATTTATTAAAATGAAAAAAACATGAAAGAACACTTAATAATTATGCTAAAAATTAAGAAGGGAAATTTGAATTAATTTGTGCAAAATATCATATTGTTGGACTTCCAATGTTATTGCCCAATTATCATGGACTCCAATGGATACCAGCTGATAGACTGCAGTGACCACTACACCAGCTTTTGGGCACCACTGGCCATTACATCAGTCGCTTGGCTCCAGTGGTCAGTACACCAGCTGCTGGGCTCTAGTGGTCATTATAGCAGCTGCTGGGATACAGTGGCCATTACACCAGCTACTGGGCCCCAGTAACCATTACATCAACTGTTGTGCTCCAATGGTCATTACACCAGCTGTTGGGCTCCTTTCACCAGAGGTTTGATGCTAGTTGCACTTCTGAACATTTCTGTTAGAACACTGAGTGAAGCTGTATTGTAAGTTTTATAATCACCATTATTCTACTTGGTAGATAACACTTTTTTCTTCAAGTTTTAGTGTTATTTTAGTATGTATATAATGCTGTTTTAATGAATATCGACCAATAAAACATGACAACTAAATATTCCAAGCATTTTTCTATTGTCAGATATGTACAAAGGCTTAATTGTTTGTTTTGATTTGTTTAATGCAATATAATTTGAAAATTGTAATCAAGGACCTCCACTGTATCATGTGCTCGGTATTTTGATACTTTTAAGTTACCCAAATGAATAATTATTATAAACATGGCAATTTTGAGCAGCTTAATATGATTCATAAACATATGATAATAGTATTGAGAAGAATACGCAAACAGTATCTCAGATTTTACCTGAAGTACGCATTTTGTTATTATGCAGTTTTGCATTTGTTGATCTGTTTATCCTAGATATTTAATTAGTAATACATTTGCTGTTATGTGAAAATAAAAGTTAGTTCCTTTAATAGTAGCATTCTTGATTCTACTAGTTAATAACACATTGGTTAAATTTGAGCACCATTATAGTCAGTTGATTAACTGTGAAACACTACTTTACAGCAAAGCTCTTATTGGAAGTGATTAAATCTGTAAACGTAATACATACCAAATGTACTTGATATAAACCTTGTCCTTAGTAAGAAATTTATTCTTACAAATTTGTTTAATTTCTAACAGGAATGGGTAGCTACACTAAATCTATGTTAAGCTTTTACCAGATTTGTGTTCACACTCCATTTACACTTCCCTCATGTGTATGATACTAAACCATTTGGTTATACCCTTATCTGGTTGATATAAGGACTGTCTGGTTACAGTCTTGTCTGAAAGATTCAGAATTATTTAATTTAAACTTTTGTCTGTAGAATTCTCCAACTGTCTTGTTACATTCTTGTTGAACAATTCCAAAACTATTTAGTTATACCCTTTTTTAGGTTCTTTTTTTCTGGTTCATATAATAATCATCTGTCTACACCCTACTTTTGTTGACATTAGAATTGACGTGTTACATCCTTGTCTGGATGATTCCAGAACTTTCTAGTTACACTCTTGTCTGGATGATAGCAGAACTGTCTAGTTACTCCTTTGTCTTTTTCTGGATGATAGCAGAACTGTCAAGTTACACTCATGTCTGGATGATTTCAGAACTGTCTTGATTACACCCTTTTCTGGATGATAGCAGAATTATCAGGTTACACTCGTGTCTGGATGATTTCAGAACTGTCTAGTTACTCCTTTGTCTGAATGATAACAGAACTGTCTAGCTACACCCATGTCTGGATGATTTCAGAACTGTTTTGATTACACCCTTTTCTGGATGATAGCAGAACTGTCAAGTTACACTCATGTCTGGATGATTTCAGAACTGTCTTGATTACACCATTTTCTGGATGATAGCAGAATTATCAGGTTACACTCGTGTCTGGATGATTTCAGAACTGTCTGGTTGCACCCTTTTCTGGATGATAGCATGTGTCTAGATGATCAAAATTGTTTGGTAACGTTTCTGTCTGAATGATTCTAGAATTGTTTAATTACACCTTGTCTGTATGTTCACTTTGACTTGGATTATTCTAGATCTATTTAATACACTCTTGTCCAAGAAATTCCTATTTGTTTAGTCAGGATTTTAGAATATGACATTGCTAATGCGATAAAAAAACTATTATCAGAAAATTAATACTTCAACATAGCTTCTCAATCAAGTTATATATACACTGCAATATTTATCTTCTTTGAAAATTTAATTATGATGCTGAAGTTACGTTTTTACATTAGTAAATTGTGTAGGTGTTTTTTGAGTTCATAAGTATGTGTAGTAGGTAACTTGAAGAACAAACTGTAATATTTCTGCCAGCAAAACCTAAACAAGTTTTTTTTTCTGAGTCAGAACCGAACGCAAATTAATTCTTTATAAAATGGAATTTTAAGAAAATAATCATGAAATATTGATTTTTTTTTTACATTTTACTGTTCTTTTTTCGTTTTTATTTCCCTTTTTTGTGTGTGGTATGTACCAATTTATAATGTATATGTTGTTGAAATAAATGCATCCACCATCACTAGCAGAGTATTCCATTCTGTAGCGTGTTTGTACTTTTAAAAGTGAACTTTATTGTTTTTATGGATACTAAGTAATTATGTTAAATAGTTGTACTTAGTATTTCCTATTTCTTTTCCTGGGTGAACTGTTAATCTGAAGATTGATGATTCTTGTCCCATTTCTGCAAAACATAATCTTTTTCTTAACATTTGGGGCTGTGGATGCACTATAAGAATGACAATCAAATTTGGTTAGGCATGGCCTGGTGGTTAAGTTGTTCGACTTTCAATCTGAGGGTTGTGGGGTTGAATCCCTGTCACACCAAACATGCTTGTCTTATCAGCCATGGGGGCATTATAATGTGATGGTCAATTCCACTATTTGTTGGTAAAAGAGTAGCCCAAGAGTTGGCTTTAGTCTATCACTGGTAAATTAGGGACAGCTAGCACAGATAGCCCTCTTACAGTTTTGCTTGAAATTCAAAACCACACTATTCCTTAGTTGCTTTCCATCTAGTCTATGAGTTTAAAATTAGGGACAGATTTTGTTTCTTTGCACAAATATTCTTACATTTCACTTTCATTTTACACTGTTACTCATTACCAAAAGGATGCTGAAAATGGCAAGTTGAACTCCCAAAGAAATATAATTTAACCCTCAAACTATTGACTTTTGTTTTTTGTGCCATTCATTTGTATAATGCTTGTTACTTGTAGGGTTCATATATTACAACATACTGAGTAATCTTATTACACACTTGTTGTAAAGAATTGACCATAAAATGGGGAGAAACCACTCTCTTTTCTATGTACAGTACAAGGGTATTTCAGCAGTAATTAGTGAGATTAGTTATGCTACATTTCTTTGTGTGTGATTCTTATGCTATTAACTAATACAGGCATGGTATAAGTAGGTTAGAAAAGTGAGTTTAAAAAATTGATTGGAGCTGTAGGTCTTGAAGCACTTAATAAAAGAAAGTCAGCAATAAGACTTTGCATAAAATAGGAGATATGTACTCTTCTACCTTCTTTTAGCTATTAGGGTAATTTCATGGCCATATCTGCTCACAGTGAAAACCAATAAAAGATGTGTCTCTTCTTCTTCTTGTTTCTGACTATATAGGCTTCTTGTTGTTTAAGACTCATAACGTAGGTAAATTAGTATGTTGAATTATACGTGGACTTTTCTCTACATTAAAATACTTTTATTTTTGAGCTTTTGGCCCTCTTACCGGAGCATCCATCAGAAAACAATGTACTGAGCGATAAAAATTCATTAAACTGTGGAACACTGTTTTAAAATAGGTATCTAGGCAATAGTTGTAACAATAAAAGTATTTTAATGTTGAGAAAAGTCTGTATATAATTCTACATATTTAGACTTCCAACATGTATGCATGATATCCTCCACTTCTTCACTGACATGACAGTGTTATTTCCACATGGACAGATTCACAGGTTTAATTTTTTTTTTAAATGTAATTGTATAAAATGTTAACATGTAAGTAAAAATGACGTAACCTACAGAAAAAAACAACAACAATCTAATCTGCTGAATTTTTTGTCTTACACCTTCTTTGAAATGAAATGTTTCTACAGCAAATACAATAATATTGTCTGCCAGCTGATCATTAAGGTGCCTCTCATTTTCAGAGATTCTAACAACACAAAATGACCCATACTTGTTGCTTGGAACTCTATTTGCAAAATCCCACTCTGTTAGACCAAATTATCAGGTTGCATCTAGCAGCATAATCAACTTGATCCATTCCACACATTGTAACGTTGTTTGTGGAAATTATTCATTCCACACATTGTAACATTGTTTGTGGAATTATTCATTCCACACATTGTAACATTGTTTGTGGAAATTATTCATTCCACAC